GATGTGCTAGAACGATCAACCGCTCTAGGCATGGTTTTTTTGTCGCATCATTCATAGTGCTGAGAACGGATATCCAGGGCTAATGTGGCTAGATTTTCTGCATTAAATTTTATCAAAATTTTCATATTCTCGGAGCTTCTCAATTCCATTTCATATCCCTCCGAAAAAATCCACTGTTTCGGCGAACTGATGCGTCGGATGACGTTTGATAGGATATGAAGATATAATAACAATGATACAACACAAGGATCACATAATATCCATGAGAATTATTCGAAAATATGATACTAACAATACACTGTGATCCAACAGTGATAACAGTAGTGACATTAATAATGTCACTATTGTTATTACGTAACGAAAAGAATAACACATAACATAACATAGCTCGTATCACATCTTATTTCTAATATCTTATCCCTACACTCATTATGCTCGCTCGCCTATTTCAAATCGTCAACCTTAAACACTATTCTAATGTCACTGAATTCTAGGATCTTTTGTGAAGTGTTTATTCATCTTCGTATTCATTCTAATGTCATCTGAATGTTTACTTGTCTCCCTGATTTTCATCCTCAGTGAGGTACTACGCTCCATTGCTGAATTTTTGAATCATTTGAATAAATGTAACCGTTTAGTGCTGGGAGGATTGGATTGATGTTGATATCCTGTTGTCGCTCCAGTTGAACTGTGCCGTAGTTGCTCTTCTCGCAACGTTCCCTTCATCCGATTGTGAGCTGGTGTTCCATCCCGATTTGCTCCATTAAATCGGGATGGTCGGCCTTGAATCGTTTGAGGTAGAGGCAGCATTGGTCTGCCCTCCACGCTGCCTCGGAGGCCAGGTGCCTCTTGCGTGGGTTCGACGGCACCTGCACCTCTTCTGCGTCTTCGTCTAGGATCGCGATGTGCGAGACATCGCGTCCTAGAGTCACTAGACGCTCGGCAGCGATTTTACGCGCCACCAACGCCCTTTTGGTGACGCCAACGCACCTCTCGGCTTTGTGGGCGTCCATAACTGTCTTGATCTCGGCGGCCGAGAGGTGCGCCGAGGAGGGTAGAGCCACGTTGTGGCCGCAGGACGTGCAGAGGGCTGAAAGTTCAATTGGAGTTGACTTTCAAAATGTCAAGTATCATACACCGAAAAATTTCATGGATACTTCTCCTTTATTTTCTATGGTTGGCTGTAAAAGTTCAAAGTGAAATTCAACAATAAAAACAAAAAATGAAATGAATAAGATATATCAATTGATAATAACGTACTTTGCTCTCGGTGACACGCGGCCCTCTGCACGTGTATTTTCCAGGCCTTAACCGTTTTAAATGGCTGGTTAGGCCTGGAACAGCCGGCTAGACGGCACCCTGAAACGTTCATCGTAAGCAAACATGAATATTTGGTCACTCAATTGTAGAAGTGTTCATCCAGGATATGATAACAAGGAAATAATTATCCATTTTATCTATAATAGAATGCTGCCACTCTCCGATTCAGATTTTCAGTAAAGACTACATCAAAAGTAATGCTAGAGAATTATCAGTCTATGAAAACTTACAGATGGATTTGTCGCTGCTTACGTGGTAAGCTTCTGTATCCGGTGCCGTTAGCTCGACTTGGTGTTCCGGCCGCAAATTTTCGATGTTGCGCGGCCGGAAGACCTGCGGCTCTGGCTGCTCTCTCGGCTGTCTTGGGATGTGGGGCCTGCGCCTAAAAATCAACGTATCATTGCAAAGCAAGAACGATTGGTTCGTTAATTTTGTAATTTATTTCTATATTTATGATCAATCCATGTCATACGAAACGGAAGATCCAAATCGAATATATCTCTCATTCATCGCTGAGAGATGATCACTTTCAATTACCTCCCGTTTAAATTTCATTTCTTATATCAAACTTTTCAAACACATTCATTCCTCAATGACTATGTGAATCGCTGTCAAACAAATAAAGTTGAAATTTTGCTGTGATATACTTAAAGGAAAGAACTTACAAGAAGTAACGGGGCTGCGCAGGCCCCTCCTCTGCCTGGACTTCGTTAGTGTCGTCGTTAGCGTCGTTGTTAATGTCGTTAGGTTGGTTAATGTCATCTTCGTTAATGTCGTTATCATCCATAAACATATCGTTAATATTTTCGTCAAATTCCTCGGGCTGTGGTATTTCTGGTTCAGCGGGCCAGTGTGCGGGTGACGGACGGGGCTCCCCTCGGTCCAACTCCTGAAAGAG